AAAAACGGAGTCTCCCTCAGTTAAGTTTGAGGTTTAATTTCCAGAAAAAAAAAAAGTGTTTTTCAATAAAAGCATTCACATTAAGAAAGTTTAACAGTGTGTGTATTCTGCCTTGACACCTCTTTGTGTAGGAGACTGATACAACTGAGAGAATTTCTTAGAAATTTGCCTCAGAAACAGTGAGTGTTTTTCCCATGATTCCATGTCCAGTGCAGACAGGTTTGTTATTTCCAATGGCTTCAAACTTCAGTCTCCAAACAGCAGTTGTAACTCCTTAGTTCAGAACTCTGTTCTCTTATCTCTCTCTACACCAGGTCTGGAAAATTCAATTACTTACGCACAGACCTGGGGGGCTCCAGGGCTGCTGGAAGAGCTGAAACACTTCCAGAGTGAAAATTTATAATGTTTCTTCCCATTTAATAAAGACACATTCTGCTTTAGCACAGTACAGTGTGTGTGACCTGCCTGGGAACTGATACGGCCCCAGAAGCATCACTGTAAGGAAAGGGAAATGTATCAGGACATATGTTCTGGAGAGTAAAAAATCTTCCACGAAAACTCCACTAACTAAGCAAAAATTATGGTGGGTTTGTTCAGCACCAGGTTTATAAAGCTTCAAGGTGGTACAACAGTGGTAACAGGACATTTACAGCAGTGGTAACAGGTGGTTCTCGTCCATGGATGATTCCAGTGTTTGCACATGCATTTGTGCAAACAAATCCAAAGCATTTTTGTTCTGGAAGTTTTAAACAAGTTCACGTGGGGCCTTCACCAGTGCCCAAGGGCAGCAGCAGCACCTGCAGTGGCACTCACGGCGAGGGCAGGGGCCCTTTGTGTCCCCAGCACAACTTTCTGCACCCAGTGGGGCTCCCCCAGTCCCTGGGAACAGCCAGGAGTTCTTAGGGACACTCCTGACACACTGATCAGGACACACAGCTGGGACAAATGTGCTTAGAAAGGGGCAGGTGAGCTGGGAAAACCTGAAACCCTGGCTCTGGCCAAGTATTTTGTTTCTGCAGTCACCATGTCCTCATTCTTCTGCCTTAAAAACTTCCTCTGCTGAGCAGGAAGTAACCAGCGAGCATTTGAGCTCTGGCGAGTCTCTGCTAAAACAATTTCAAAACTAAATCTCAGTGTCAGCACCTATTTCATCTGATATAATCTATTTAATCTGAGCTGCATTAAGCAGGTCTCCTCCAGATCTGTATCTTAAAGACAGGCACAGACATCATAGCTTTTCTTCACAGCTTTGGTCTGGGACCACTACGAGAGTGCAGGATAACACCAGTCCTGGACTGACTCAAACACATAATTGATAATGACAATATTTGGCATTAGTGTAAAATCCCAAAAATTGTGTCTTCTGATAGCACCAAAACTCGGCAAAATTAACATGAGATTACAAAGAACACACTGACCCAATGCATGTTTCATATACATATTTATATATATTTCATGTACAAAGTTACATTCTGAACCTCATGGATTCAATAATAGAAATAAATACTGAAATAACTACACTGCTATATGAGCTCTTCTGCTCACAGAAAAGAAGCCTCAAGTTTTAACAGACAGCAAGTTTAACGCTGTAGAATCCATCTCAGATTACAGAGGCAAGTAAAATTCAGCATAAAGTGTCCAACAGACAAAACTTTCAAAAATTACAGAACATAAAATGTTTAAAATATATGTTTAAAAGATTGAGAAATGTGCATCAACAAAATTAATAAAGGAAACTTAATCTTGTTAGAGGGTGGGAGAGACATTTAGTGTATAGAAAAATGCTTTGAGGTGCAATATAGGTTGTTACAATATGGCATAACCCTGTTAGAAAAGAACATTTAATTTCCCTAAAGAAGAACTGTATTTGAGTTTACCATGTCTCGTTTTACAGAGCGAGGCCTTCACAAGGCCCACCTCAACAGGGCCATTTACAGAGTGCTAAGTCAGGTTTAATCCTTTGGTAACTTTTATAATACTCACATGGAAATAAATATTCAGTTACACAGCATTTTTTTAAAGACATACGTTCTTTAGAACAGTTAGTATAATAAAACAGATTAAAGATTTGTTTATTACTAAGGCAGCCTATGATAAAGTGTCTACGCTCTGTCAGCTCGATCCTATCCAGCCCAGGAAGACCTTCCCAAGGAATGGACAATGCAGCCTCACCTTCACCATGCAAACACCCCTACCCAGGCAAGTCATGTGCTGCATATTTTGTGCTCAAAACGTTTCCAAACTATTAACAAGCTGTAGATATCAAGAGATTAGCTCCTATTTATATGATGCTTTAATCACAAGTGTAATGCATAAACACATTCTTGAGACAGAGTTGGGGGTGTATTGTCATCACAGTGCCTGGGGTTTGCATGCTTTATTCACCTTTCAAAGTGACCTCAAGGGGAGTTTATACAGCCCAGCACGCTGTGATGGCAACAGGGACCCAGTTAATCTACTGTACCTTAGGACAGGGGATAAAGTTTTAAAATGAGAAATAGAGAGAAGTGCACATGCCTTTATCTACACCCATAGTGCAACACAGGTCAACAACTATCTGTTTAAAACCCTTCCGTTTTTGGACAGAAGCAATCCATCATTCTCTGAAATATCTGCAAGGACTGGCCCACTCAGGTGACTACAATGGCACGGTGGGCCAGCTCCATTTGGCAAAAGACCAGGTACACACTTGCCAGGTTGCACTGCTCCAGCTGGAGCAGAAATGTCACTCAGAGAAAACAGCTTGTCTTTAATAACAAATTAAATCCTACAAAGAACCAAGGAACAGAATTGTGCGCTTTTTCTTCTGAGAACATGAGACTGTGACAATCAACTAGTGAGTAAAAAACTTTGGAGATTGTGTTTTCCAAAGAGAGAGAGAAAAAAAAAAAATTCAAGAAAATGGCAGGAAAAGCAATGAAACTGCACCACTCACAGTGAAGATTCTACACAACAGTAGATGTTTAGACAGCATTTTTCTTAAGACATCCTGTCCCATTAGTTAATTCAGATGTGCTTCATATTCAGCATACATGCCTATAAGTTTTAAATAGGTCTAAGAGTGTTAACTCAGGTTACTTTTGTATAATTGGTATTTGTATAATTTTTAATAAACTTCCAGACTTCATATTTAAGCCCAAGTACTTTAAGAGTGACATTCAAGATGAATATGGAAAGCAAATTATGAACAACATGCTCTCATTGCTTTTGGCATTCTGAAGAAAAAAATACTACCAAGATATTAAACATCTTTAATAAGGTTTTTTACTACATAGTTCATGTCCTAAATACATATTTACGAGAGGAACAGCTGTGTACAAAATACATTGCTTAAAAAGTATTTATACATATAAATCTAACCAATAGACCTGAATGGAGATTTTCTGGTTTATCAGCTATGATATGCATTTGAAAAAGCTGCCTAAATATATATTTACACAATAGACCTCAGCTAAATGTGTTAATTTAAAAAATTAAGAAAATATATAAACACATGTTTGCCTGATAGACCAGAACTGCTCCTATTGCATAAAAATGTTTAGGCAGTTTTAGAAAAGTGTTTCTATATTTACTCATCTGAAACTGTTCAGTTCTCTCACATAATCAAGTTACTAAATTTCTCTGCTAATCTGAACAGCTCCAGCCTTTTAGGGGTAAATGCTGGATGTTTATTAAAACCCTTCAAAACTTTCACTTTCCAGAGACTAAATTAAAGAGCAAATGTGGGTTTTTAAATCTTCTGAAGTACAGAAATCATGAAGCGTTTAACTTAGGTCTGATACTAAAGCAGAAATTTCAATGTAAAAGGAAGACAGTCTTAAACTCACATTTATGGTTAAAAAAAAGATGGTGAGTAGACAGAATGTCAGCCTAATAGTAGTGTACTGATTTCTGGTAATTTTTTTTGTCATGTTACCTGATAATATTGTTGCTGAATTATTTATTTTTTTTAACTAAATTGGGGTATGGAGCTACCAAAAAAGTACATTTTGTACCTAATTATCTGGAATTACACTTCCTTTTATGCCTGAGGCATCACCTTTACAATCTCACTCATGCAGAATGTAGATTTTTCCTGTACACTCTCAGTCTTTTCTCGTGATCTAATTGAGGTCTCCAACATTCACACATATAGTGCCTTATGAGTTTGACCAGTTAGGCAGAGAAGATCATTCTAAGTGCTTAGGACATAAGGAGTTAAAATAACAAAACATATCCCCTGTTTGAGAATTTTACTGTTATTTTCCAATTTATATCAACCTAAGAATACCATTTGGAAACAGAGTTGACCCATGTCAGGGAGATGGAAAACCATTATGCTCAAAATTGCTCATTACTGAGGGCAGCAGCTCTCAAACTTTAAGGTTCAATAGTGAAAATACAATTTTATTTAAATATTTTCATTTTAATTCCTATACAGCCTCCTCTTTCCCCCAACAAATTCTGCAGAATGTAACAAATTAAACCATGTACACTGGATGAGCAAGATTTTCCAGGTTTGAAAACAAAAGCTGAAATATACAGTTTGCTTTAGCCCAAAAACTGAGTATTTGGATGAGTCTTAATAATGCATCTTCTAATTTGTCCATTTTTTTCATACTCTGGGAATAACTTTGCTGTTTTACCCAATGCATTATACAGTGAAATGAAGCTCAGTTGGAACAAAGCTGAACTCAAGTGAGACTACCAAAGAAGTGAACACATGAGATTGCTGTGGTACAGTAAAACTGTATCAGCTGCTCACTGTGGTGTGCACACCAGCTGGAGAAACATCTGATTTCCTCACACTGTTCCATTTAACACGGGTGCAGTAAAACAGCACAAGCAAATTCCTGTATAGCTAAAGGTATGACAGGTTTCAATATAAAGTTAAACAGCAAAGAAATGCTTCAACATCATGTTCAAAACATCATGTTGTGAAACAGGTTCACAAAAAAAAAAAAAAAACATGCAGAAGCATTTTTTTTTTTCTTCCNAGAAGCATTTTTTTTTTTCTTCCCCCCACCCCCCCGCCGTTTTTAAGGTCTCCAACTGCATCCTACAGTCTCACTCACTGCCACACATGACCTGCCACACTATCAAGTGACTCCTCTCAGCTTTGGCTACAGAAGGTTCAAGTGGTAGAGCTTCTCCCAGGAGTTCAGATTCTCCTCCTTCATCACCTGGAACAAAACACCTTTGGTTGAGGCACCCAATAACCAGAACAGCATCAACACCACATGCAGCAAGACAAGAAAAACACTAAAAAGACAGTGTTGCCATATGCTGATATAAAAACATATTAAAGTCTGTGACTGTAAACAGAGTGTATTGCATAATTATCTCAGAGCCCAGCATTCTGCTGGCGATATTCTTTACTCCTAGCCCAAAATAATGGCAGTTTCATAAGTATCCATATTCTGCATGTTTCATTACTTATAACTCTTTAATGTAGAGAAACCTAATCTGCAAACTACCAGGCAAACATAGAGATGGTTTTGCATTAGAAAGTGTTCTGGGACAAACCCAAGCATATAAAGGCCCGGGAACAAGAGCTGTACTTAAGCACATGTGAGACAACACAACATTCATGTCTATGGTCAACGCTCCCCACTCTTTCCTCCTGTTCCAGTTATTCCAGATTGTCACAACTCTGCCCACAGTGACAAAGACAGCCTTGAGCATATTCTCCATTATTGCTCTTCAAAAAGAAGAGCAGTTTTGAAGCTGCACCTGAACTCTGGGTGACAGGAGCTGACTGGGACCAAAGGTGACACCGAACTGCACATGAACAGCCAGGACCATCAATCCAGGAGGTCACCTTAATCAGAGGAAACAGGAACTGACCTACACCTTCAGGAAGGTGTCAAATCAAATTTTGGCTTGTGTCCTGGTTAGACTCCTTTGGAGGGCTGAGGGAACTAAGCACAGACCAAACCCCCAGAGTTTGCTGGGCTCATGTGGCACTGGCTGGGCTAAGGCAGCACTGGCACTCAGCTCATGGCTTTGCCATCATGCCACAGGGACAGCAAAACAAGCATTTGGAATGTGGCTGTTCCAGCTGCCCTGAGTGACTGCAGCACTTGAGCCCTCGCTGCACTGTGGCACAGAACTGTCTCCAGTCCTGTCTCCCACAGAAATCCATCACAGCCACCCCAGGAACCTGCTTGTCACTGATTACTGGGATGACAGGATTTGGGCTGGCCTTCCTGGGTTTTCCTTTGTAATGGTTTATGTGGGTTGTTTTGCTGTTTGGTTGGTTTTGAAAGACTACAGACAGATTTAGGCAAAGGTCAAAAGCAGGTCTAAAGAGTTGTGACAACTTTTTATACACTTTTTGTCAAGGTCTCTACAGAATCACAACAGCTTTCACTTTATTTCCTCAAAGAGTTCAATTAAAAAGAAGACAGATGTTTACACAAGAAATCTTTTATGGGCTGGATCATGCAAAAGTGCTATCCAAGAAAAGCAGTGATCAAATATGATGGGCATGCAGAGATAAGTGATCTACTTTATTCTTTCCCACTCAAAAAATAGTAACTTTTACACTGAGCATTCTTCACTTAACATGACTTGTTTTCAGTCAGTCTGCCTATTTAAGTAACTAAGGACATGTTTTCCAGTTTGAGACAGAAGATTAACCTGCCAAAGAAGGACTGAAAGCATAAATAGGAAGGTGGTACATGACTCCAAAGCAGAGTTTCAAATAAACCTTACACAGTCATCCCTGTTACAGATGAGTAATGAGATGGTCGGCTCTCACAATTAAGGAGTAAATGTTATGTATAAGTTAAGAGAAGTTTTGTAGATGTATAGTTATGTTACTGTAATATGTTCTCCCCCTTGCATTGTTAGCCCAAGATGGCCTTGGTAGTTGGGGCATTTGGGGAGGGTCAGCTTGTTACTACCTGACCTCCAATCAAGATGTAAGAAAATGAACTCCACAAAGAAGGAGTTGACTGATAGGACTTTGGGAGGGGCTAGAGGTACAAAAGGCAGAGCATCCATTTTGTAGACAAGCACATGATTGTTGAGTCCTTTGCTCCCAGCACTGTATTTTTTTCTTATTTAGTCTTTTTGTTGTATTTTTGTTAAGGTTTAATAAACCTTTGAAATTTTAAAAGTGAGCATCGTCTCTCATATCCCAAAGGTCATGGTTTATTGGGAGGAGGAAAAGCTGAAGGTGTGTGACAGAATAAAAATACTTCCACTCCTGCAACGTATGGTAAAGACTGTATATACTGACCACACAAATGCACTCACTGCAATTACAGAAGCAGTTCTTATCTGGTTAAAAACCTTTCAGTATGCAGTATGACTCATTTAAAGCTCAGATTTCTTACCCATTCTGAAGTCAATGTATCCTTCTCCACCGCTTATCACCAACATTGATTTTAAGGGACTCTGGTTGAAGGACTCCTGGGCTTGTTTATCAGCTGTTAGATCTGTTCCACCACTACTCTGAGGGCAAACAACCTGACCTGGGTGAAAAATAGAACACTTTCTTATGCCTTATCTCAGAGTAAAACCTTCTGTGCTTGATCAGTAGATGACAATGACTAAAGCAGTTGAGTGCCTTCTTAACAGACAAGTTAAGAAGGTCTCAGCACAGCACCTTTTTCACAGAAGGAAGCAAAGTCCTTGCTTGTGATCAAGCCCTTTTCCTCCCATTAAACAGGGCTGTACTTAGCAATCAGACAAGTCTTGTCATTAAAATACAATACATTCTGAGAGTTCTCTTACTATCTTTGCCTAAACACTTCATTTAACTAAGTGAATGAAGGAAAAAAACAACAATAAACAAAAAGCCCAAACAAAAAAAACACCTCTTTTGAAGGCAGTAACAGAACCTCACCTGGTACTGCAACAAAGAATTTCACAGCATCCCTGTGGCCGTGGAAGCAGAGCTGTGCATGTGCCATGGAACAGTAGGGGATGAAGGTCCCTGGAGTCACTTTGTCACTGTGCTCATCTCCATACACACGGATCACGCTCCCCGGACGGTTTCCAGAGCCTGCTGCTGATTTATTGGCTGTAAAAGAAGAGGTTGTTTTCTACTTCAAAACACAAACTGCTGAAGTGGTTATTTGTTAAGAAACCTTATGGTACCATCTAAAAGCTAAAGCCAACTTAGATAAAAATGAAACAGGAGGGCAGCAATGCCAATTCAAGACAGAGCTGGAAAGAAAAAGATTGCATGCTTCATTATTTTAAGTACATAAGAAAATGGAGCAGGGTTCTTATTAGTCTAGCATAAACACCAGATTTCAATATCCTACTTTTGGGAAAAAATAATTTGTGACAGAACTGTATCTTTCATAGAAAATAAGTACCTCTAATGTGTTTCAGTATGAACAAATTCCATGTACTTAAACATGTAATTAAAGACAGTTTCATTCCAACTAATCATAATGTATGCACTTGCCAGTAAAAATTCTCTAGAAACAGCCACCTGTGGGCATGAAAGAGCTACCCTATTATCATTCTACATCTAGATTTTACTGAGAAGTTTTAAAATACATTAAACTAGAGAAGTACTCATGCTAGACATACAAGCCATCTCCATTCCAAAGACTATCAAAGTAGTGAAAGAAACAGTGATTTGTAACAAGACAGCAAATGATGTGGATTAATGACAAAGTTATAAGATGTGGTATCACATTGGCTGGAAGAGAAAGTCTGTATGAGAGTTCAGCTGCAACACAGGATGATATGCTAAACTGCTGAGCAGATTGGTGGCCATTTAGCAAACATAAAACTGCTGCAATGCAGTAACTGCAAGTGGAAAAACATTTAGGAACATACAAAGGGTAAATCTATAAGGAGTGGGAAACAGCCTCAAAGTGGCTATTATAAGCCTGAAAATAGGTTTTGGTTCAGGATCTCCACTTACCCCGCAGCCCCAGTAAACGTCCCTGGTGGAGGATTACAGCTAGTGAGAAAGGAGGAAAGGGGAAATGGATAGGTATGACAGTAGAGGAGAAGGATTAATGAGAACCCACCACTCATATTTTGGTTTTTGATAAGGTAGAGCTTAAAATTTTAGCTCCTTAAAAAACCAATAGATATTTAATTTCAGAAGATTCAATCAAAAGTCACAAAGAACAGCATCTTACTATAGAAGTTTCAGTACAAAATAGACCACAAAAGCACTGTCACGTATTTTTAAGTTTATTATTGATTAGCAACGTTTCCCCTTTCTCTCTTTCCTTGGCAGGAGGCTCCAGAATAATATAGAATGACTCATGTTTTCAAGTACCCTTTTGGAACATCATCTGCTGCCCTGCTATTAAGACCCAGGGGACTGAAAGATGCCACTGCTCATGCAAGGATTTGACTGCTTTATTACTATTTCTCACCAGGGTTCTCAGTTCACTATCAGGCTACCCCCAAAAGGCTGTTCTGACCCACAACCAACCAAAAGAAATGAAATGCAACTGAATAGCTTTAATAGGGATTTCTTCACATTCACTCCTGGTATAAAACAAACTCCTCTAGAAACATTAAATTAAGCTTGATGCAAATTAAGAGCTATAATTTTTGAAAGCATGATTTAAAGTGTCTCAAAATCCATGACAGGAAGTCTGTCCTTCCTTAGTACATTCATGCAAAAAAAAAGACAGTTACTCAATGGATGGGCAATGCAATGGAACAACATGAGAAACAATGCATGTGTTTGCTGTTCAACAAAGCAGATACAACACGAAGAGTTTTCACTATTAAATCACCCTAAAACGTCACCTGTCAGACTGCACTATTTTCTAAGTAACAACAGTACAATTAGGACTATCATAGGTCTGCATTTTGTTTTCTGAACCTTCTGTCCACCTCTTATAACATTAGTCTCAGGCACAAGTGTTGAGGCTTTTTTTTATTGCTTAATTGCAATCAATTTACACAGAGATTCTTCCCAAGCTTTACCTATTTAAGATTTGATTTGTCCTTGAGTTGTTCTTTTCTCCTGAGATTCAACTGCCCTCAATTAGTTACAGCCTATGACAAGAGTCTGGGGTCTGTTATTAAGCAAAAACCAAGACCTACATGACTGGAATTTGACCTGGATGTTAGTGCACTGTTTGAATGTATTTACAGTTCCTATAACTCTGAACACATCCTTTAAAGCAGTCTATGCTACTTCTGTTCCAATCCTTTATACCCACTTTGTGATGAATTCTCAAGAACTAAAGCCAATCAAGTTGTATTAGCAACAACAACATGCTCAAAGAAAAAGGTATTTTGTGATCATATGGCAATCAAAAATAACAGTAATTAGAAAACTAATGATGTCTTGTATAAGCAATAAATTTCTATTGCTGCTGCCAATGCTCAGAACACCTCTAAGGCTTCAAAGTGCTGCTTTGATTCAAGCCAACTCCGCTCAAACAGCAGCACACAAGATTCTGGAGATGTGTTGTTTTCTCAGGGTAACTGTAACCACATACACAGATATAAGTGCTAAACATCACACAGACCTGATCTGTTACAAACCTGAAAGAGTCAGACCGGGCAGTGAAGGTTTCTATTCATTAGCAAGCATCTGAATGATGTTTAATACTATTTTTTTTTTATGCCTACAGCAATTGCACAGTGCTATTCATTGATATTTTACTTACTTTCTGTTAATGGAATGGAGATGATGACACCATTTCCTGTTCCTACCCATAAACGATTACAAGACACCATAAGTGCTGTGATTCTCACAAATGAGAATCCCAGTTTACCAGTACCTAAAAACGAAAGATGCTTTTCATCAAAAATTATGAGCAAGAATAATTTTAGCTCTACAACAGAGAATCTTAAATCCAACTCCCATATCACACAGACAAGTAATTCCCTCCCACTTCTGACAGAAACAAAGTAGAGGAGCACATTTAAGTTGTAAAGATAACCTAGAAGGCTACAATACAACCCTGTAATTAAATTGAGAATCTATACTTCAAAACTCTAATATCAGCTACAAGAAAGCAAAAAAGGTCCTTAATGCTGCACAGTAAAATCTTTTGGGGTTTACCAGCTTTAAAACAAACAAAAAAATGAGTTTACAGATAAAAGATAGTGGTTTGTAATCCATTAAAATTAATTTCTCATTTTTTAGCATGATGAGGGGAGCAGAAGGCTGACACCAGCCATGTGCAATGCACAGCAGTGCCTTGTGAAGGATTTCCCAGAGCCTAATTACCTGTATTGGTTGTGTAATGCATGTGGTCAAATTGTTCTTATACAGATATTAATGAAAAAAATCAGAAAGCTTACTAGGTTCAACAGCAATAAAATTTTCCTGTCTCAATTTTTTTTTTTTTTAATAGGCAAGTTTCCAGGCAGGTAATGGATTCTTCCCATTTTTAGCTATAAAAAATGTATCAGTATATAAAAAGAGAAAGATTGTAGTGTCTCTATTGGTGCCTGCCCTACTCAACCACCATTTTCCTCATTAGTTAAGAGATTTTAAGGACACTTCACACACCAGGTAAGATCAACAGACTAACAGATGACCCATCACCCCCATCATGCTTCACAGACTGACTTAGGCTTCTACTTCCAGATTCACGCTTGCACAAACTGATTTTAACTGGCCTTTCCACCCACCTTTACCCCAGATCTGCAGTGAGAACTGCCTGATCTCTAGCAGGAAAAGAAAGCTGCAGACAGCAAGAGCACACCAGTTTTTCCTGGGAACTTACCAAGCATTTTGCTTACATAGGGCTCAATGTCCACATCCTGCAGGTGCTGGTAGGTGTGGGCATGGTAGAGGCGCAGGGTGGAGTCCAGGCGGATGGACACCCACACCCCGTCCCCCACCCATGCCAGCTGCCTCACTTGGCTCTCCCTCCTTGGGTGGGCATCAAAGGACTTCTGTGAAACATTGGGGTTCAAATCAGAAGGTAGGTAAAACAAAGGGAAGAGTAAGAAAGGTTTCTGTTACTCTCATACAGTCTGAGCTGGCAATTTTCAATCAAGCAGAACCCTCTGATTTGCAAGATCACAGACAGTGTTTAGCTCAGTTACAAATAGCATGTGATGCTCTAAAATCCCCAGGTGTGATCTCAAAGTTGTAATTTCCTACTTGGTCTTCATTTACACATCTAATCCCAGTTTGCTGCAGCTTCTTCTCCCTTGAACCTGGAGCCTATTTGGGCTGAGATCCTGCTGCCACAGCACAAAGTACATGTGCCCAAAAAGTGTCTTTCTTCCTTATTCCAAAGTGACTAACTCAAAAACAACCCCACCTGTGCAAAATACACACTATCCACCAGCAAAACAATCCATTTCACTCTTATATGAACTTCATTTCAGTTTTCCCACATATATATTTATAGTCTTCTTCACAAAAACAGGTTATTATTGGGTGATTGATATTTTCAGAAGAGCTGAGCAGTCACCCTGCAAGGCCTGGCCCATGTCTCAGGCCAATTAGCAGGAGCTGAAGCACCTCTATTGCTCAAGGCTTGCAGAAACCTCAGCCACTTTCTGCTCTTAAGGTGACAGACTAAACACTGCAGATAAAACACCAGCTCACACACCTTGCATAAACTATTCTCTAACTGGAAGGAGAGTACATTCCAAATTAACACTTACAAACCTCTGCACGTGGGTGGAGAACAAAACGAGGCACACAGAATAAGCTGGGAGCTGGCCTTACAAGCTCTGCACAAGGACGCTTTCCAATTTCTGGCCAGCCAAAAGTGGAGAACTAAATCTCCCAAAAACTGGTTTCAGTAAGTGAGAGCTGTCTCATCATAGCTTTAAGTCTTCCAAAACAACTATTTCATAAAACAAATTTGCTAGGTAGCCTGTTTCTGTACTAATGAAAACAGATGTTTCTGGAGTTACTCTGGAGTCTGAGCTGCAGCATTAAAACATAACATTTAATTGGAAACTTACCTCTATTTTCATGGCCTTTGGTTGAACAACATAGATTTTGTTCCTGTAGCCACACCAGACCTTGTCGTGTACCACTGTCATGCACCGGATGGAGTGGTGTGGCCGGCCCAGGTCCAAGAGGTGATAGTTTGACAAATCCCACTGACCATCTGCAAAAACAGGAAGAAAAAAGTAAAACTCACAGGAGCCTGTGCTTAGTTTAAGGAAAATTTAGAAGTACAAGCAACTATCTTAAGTCTAATTTTTAAAAGCATGGTAATAATCTGGGTAAATTTGTACAAGTTTACAGCTAGGCTCCTCATTAAAAAACCAGCAACTAACATCCCAAATGTTACCTTTTCTAAAAAATGAAGTTGTACAATGATTCAGGTTAAAAATCCAACAAAACATTTTTAAATCAGCAGGTTATCCTGTGCTACACGCTTTGCTTGACTAGGACCAGTACCTGTGAAAACAAACAACTTCCCACACAGCACCAGGCACCCGCTGCTTGGCTGAACATAGGCATGCTGGTCAGTGCAGGTTTTTTTAAAATATGCTGCAAGATCTTAAAAAAGGCACCTGAAATCTACTAAAAACATACTAAATTTTGGCATTCAACACCAATTAAAATTCTTCTGTAGACTGAACTAAGGCCACAGATCATCAATGACATTCACTAGAGAGGCTTTTAAAAACACTGCAGTGAGTTTTTAAAAATAAACAAAACAAAACCACTAAAACCAACTGCATCCTAGCTGCATTGTTTCCAGTATTTGTATTAGTGTTGTGCAACATTTTAAATTCTTTTAAATGCTGAGCACAAGGATTTAAGCATCACAAGGGAAAGATGAAAGAATAAGGTGGAAAAACAAACTAATAGATAAGTTCCAGTTGCTCATACTAAGACCTTCCCCTTCAGGTCCCATTTCTGGAGGCTGAAGAATGAAGCTGGTTCAGGAGCAGTTTGGCAGAAATTCTGAAGGGATGCTTACAAAATTCTCATTGAAGTACTTGCCCAGAGACAATTTTTATCACTAATAAAATAGAAGACATGACTATTGAGCATAATGAAAATGCAAGAGAGATGATGATCAAAGCAGACTTTCAGATGGCTGTTCCCTATTTAGCAGATCTATCCCATTCTCCATTTCAGAGTAAGAAAATACTCCAAGAATGCACCACAACACTGCAAAAACAGAACTTGAATCTCCAACTGAAATAACAAGAAATATTTCTCATGACAACCCAGAAAAAGGTCATTGGGGAATACATTATCAAAACATTACTTGTAAATGGCACATTTCTTTCCTGACTACTGTTAAAAATTCCCTGGTTTCCAGATGCAACAGGATCCTTACCAACTCCCCGGTGAAAGATCGCAAGCGTCCCATCTGCCAGTGCAACCAAGACTATTCCTTTGACATGTCTGAGGAAAAAGGAGGCACAACAACACACTCTGTTAGACTGCTCTGCTCAGAAGGCAAGTTTAAAACTAGGTATAAACCATTTCAGCATATTTTTACAGTCATTTTTTATTAGCTCCAGTGTTTTGATTTCTACAATGTAGCTCAAGAGAAGGGATGTAACAAGGGATCAAAATCCAGTTCAGAGAGATTGAAATATATCTGGTTACAATGCCTGAAGAAAACAGCAAAAATAGCAACCTATAACTGTTTTGCATAGCTACAGCTCATCCTTTGGCCTATGTATTTCCAACAGGTCCAAGATTAAATTCATTTTCCTTACTCCCCAGAAGTGTTTCACTGTCCCTCAAAGAGCATGCAGGCAGTTACAGCAACTGACATTCCCAATATCTGAGAAGGAAATATAAAACTACTTTGGAAAGTATTTTAACAGAAATTCATTATGATTTACATGACATTCTTTCAGGACTTACACAATACTGAGAATAGAATCTTTAAGTTTAATGGCATGAACACATTTCCTCCAGTGGGCCACTGACGAATGAACATACAGGCTGCAAAGACAAATCAGGAGGGATTAAAAGCACTACCAGACAAAAACAACCACAAGCAAAACCCTTATAAACTGAAATCCACAATCAAAGGGAAGACAAGTTTTCATTTTCCACTGGAAATTATGTATACACTGAAAGGAAGAACTACATGAGCAGAAGAATGGCTTTTTCAGAGGACTAAAGCATTACAAACTCCCTTACATATACATCTGCAGTAAAGATTACAATACATTTTTCTAGCATATTAAAATACTGAAAATTATGTAATTAACAGACTATAATAATTTATTTGAATAAAAAAAAAAAATCCAGAACCTCTCTGTAGGTGAAGCATTATCTAACAAAAAGGACTTGCTAATCACCTACAATACTTCTTTTGAATTCTGAAATGCCTAAAAACTGCAGCAAAGCATTCAAGGTTTTGGCTCTCTTGAGATCATCCTGTGCTTAATCTTGACTTGAGATGGTTATCAGGCCTGTGGACATAAGAACCAAGTTTAAAGTAATTATTATAAATAAATATAACAAGATTAGCACTTCCTTACCATCCATTCTGTGCTCCAAGCCACATGGTCGGTAAAAGGCTACTCATTTTCTGTGCTTCTTCTCTCACTAGATCTTGCTCATTTGGCAGAACTGCAACATCCTTATATAATTCTGACTCAGTACTAGAAAAAAACACCAGTTAAAATACATTTATTTAAGTGCACAGATTACTCAGGCTATAAGCCAGGTGTTTACTTCACTACTGAGAGTTTCTACACTGGCTTTTGAAGTATGAGATGTTTAAAAACACAGTAACTACACATGAAAGTACAATACAGAGGAAAACCTCAATAACCATTAATTTCTTCAAGTGGACATTTTCTTCTACAGGGAAAACTAGGTTCCATTCAAACTTGTCAGTATTATTACCTCTGGGGAATGGCAGAAGAGAGTCACAAAGCACAGACTTGTACCAAGACTACTTATATAAACCTCAATACACTTAAAAAAGGAAAAACAAGTAATCATTTTGTCTCCATGCTATGTGCCTACAAACATTATACTTTTTTTTAAAATACATTTTAAGAGGTATAAGGACTTGGACTAGGTACTTAGGCTGATACACTGGAGATGCCTCTGTTGTATGCTGCACTCCCAAGGGATCTGTAAAGACATGCTCTGTGTAGACTCCAGTTTGTGCAATATCAGCTGTGTCTTCTCCTGTCCCTGCATTGACTTCTGTTGCTTCTGTTGCCTCCTCTGCTGTTGGAATGTTCTCATCTACCAAATTATTTTCAGCTGCAATATCTACAAAACAAACAAATTTGAAACACTTTTTAACAACTGCAATAGAATTCACTATTGTTTAAAACAGACAGAACTCGACAGTTACAATTTCCACATCAGAATCAAAAAACATCACATCAGAAATGCCCAAATTTTAGCAGGTTGCACTGTATAAACAAATGTCAAATGCACTTTTAAGTGCCAATCCAGTGACTGATGGCTCAGGCTGTCCATTAAATTATTACCCAGGACAGCAGTAAACAATGCCAACCAGCACAGATCCATTGACAATCATATCACCATACAGCTCTGCAGGCCATATGACCAAAAAAAAAGTATGAATGTCTATGAAATAATTAGTTTCACTTAAATCTCTATTAAGACTTGAGAAAATCCAAGGCATTTATTTTAGTCACTCTCTGGCAAGATCTGCATTTCAAATACTACATTAAAATCTCTCTCTAGAGCAGGCACAAGAATTCTCTCAAAAGTACCTGCAAGAAGCAGCTGCCAATTCCCATTTCATGTCACCTCCACCACTTTTTCAGCTACAATTTACAGAGAGTTTGCTATCACAGCTTACACAGTGTTAACCTCAGTAGTTGCACCACTTATTTCCAAGCTGCATCTCGAGGTGTTTGGCCAGCCCTGACACACCTGCAGTGTTTATCACATACCTGACTGTTTCTCTGCCACAGGTGAGGCCCCATTGGTGTCGTGGGCAGCAGGAGCCCCTGTGAGCCCCTCTGCAGTGCATCCCACCACAGTGATGCCCCCCAGCAGGCTGTCTGTCTCAGCAGAGCTGTTGCTGGTCATACTGCCACACAGGGAGGATTTGTCTACTTGGCTGGAATCTGCTTCCTGAGACGCTTCTTCTCCTGCAGGGTAGTCTGTTTCCCTTGCCCCTGAAAGAGATTAAACTCAGAATAACATAATATCCTGAGACACCCAGAATTCCCACCCTTTGTCTCAGAGCACTATGCAAGTGCTCCTGGAGCTCTGGCAGCCTTGGTGCCAAGATCACTGCCCTGGGGAGCCCATTCAATGTCCCAGCAGTCCCTGGGGATGAATCTTTTCCTGATATCCAGCCTAAACCTCCCCTGACACAACTTCAGGCCATTCCCTTGGACCCTGTCACTGGGTGTTTTTCATAGGGATAAAGCTGAATCACTCCTCTAATAACTAAGCTTTAAACTAAATGAGCTCTCCAGAGATTAAACATGCAGACAGCCCCTATCTACAAGGTTAGTGTCAAATAATCAGCAAATGTGGAAGATACTGTCACAAAGCTCATGAAACAAAAAGAAGATCAACATATGCTGCACCACAATGTCATTCACTGTATTTCAATCTGTAGCTTTCCAAATAGTTTATTTCCATTTTAATTATATCTTCTTCTAAAATCAGATTTCATAACAGTGCAGGTACACAAGGGCACCTTTCTATATCTTCATGAAGAATTTAGGTGCAATAAATCCTTGGTTCTGGAAGAAAAGCCTTTTTTCTCATGTCCAATCCTCTTATACTTTCAAGACTTAAAATACACTCAAATGCAACAAGGATTCCCTCTGCAGGGAGCTCCAAGACTTGCTGCTTATCTTCAAGAGGCTGAACAAGTCAAACAAGCAACATATTATTCTTTTTGTGATGTTCACATGAAATATGACACTGTTGCAGAGTTTATAGTACATCCAACCAAACAGTTCCCCTTGGCTGCTGACGTCTCTCAGATTTTGGGTTCATTTAAGTCAACAGCCAACTAAAGAGTGCAACAGTAGGGTAGAAAGGTAATAATTAAATGCACAACGAATCACTTTCTTACTGCTCTGTTACAGTAACTTTTTATCATACTAAGTAAAAAGTCTGTGGGTTTTCATTGCATAAGAAAAGCTGAATAAGAATCAGTTAAAAAAAGCAGGAGCTGAACCAGCCCAAGTGTTTACCTGGCACACTAGCAATACAAAGCACATGAGAATTGCAAACAATGAAACTATCCAGAATATTCCCTGGTTGATTTGCATCAATAATGATAACTTTTGTAGCAGAATGTGTGCTAGTACAGATCCAAACTAGACTGGATAATTCTTCCTGATGTTTCAGTTCCTTCTGCTGATCCTGAAGGAGAATAAAGGCAGACGTGAACAACAGAAAGGGAGACAAGAATAGAATTATTGCCTTTGATATTTTATGGTCTTACATTTTCACCTACAGAAATACACATAAATATGTGGAAAGTTAAAGGTCTTCAATTCCATTGTAAAACTACACATAGTTACTTGTTCTAAATGTATCTGAAGTATAAAGCTCTCTCATATTTCATACTTCTATTAAAAATACATAAAATATTATAATTATACTGCATAATTATATAGTTAGACCAATATAAAATAAAAACATTATTGATATGCCAACTGCCATACTCAGCATCACCACAGGTATGTGATATCCCAAAACACTTGAAAATTCAGACTGTTTTTATGCCCTTAAAGATGAATTCCAGTTATGGCAGCTAAAACATAAATCTGACACAAATGGTTTTTAAAGGAAGCAGCACTGGTATAAGCAGTACATCATTTTGATGTAAAATTTATTAGCTCCTGAGATTTGCCAGTAAGGGAAGATTCAAAAGTATTTAATAGTTGGATTCAATAACCCAAACATCCTGGGCTAATGACTGACCAAAAAAATTCTACTTGTTACCAATGAACCTGTTTAGAAAATACTTTAGAGACTACAGTTACACAGTAAAGGTGAGTAACTATAAAATTTATTAAATGTGCCTTGCAGGGACCTTACCTTGAGCTCCTGGTCTAGTTTATCTAAGCTACTCTGGGATCCTGTTTGCTGCTTGTTGCCATCTGCATCCACAGCAGTCACATCATTATAGAACACACTGGCACCAACCACAGACCCTCCATCTCGTGTCTTCCCTCCTGACAGGTTCACCCCTACAGCACACCACAGCTTGGGAGAAAAAGAAATGTTTTGCTTGAATCTCATACTAAAAAATAGAGACACAAGCATTGTTAAATATGCTAAGTGATATCAACATTATTATATATCCAGAGTCCATTTTAAGTTATTAATTACAATTAAAGTAATATACATTTTACTGAGACACAAATTCTTCTTCATTATGTTTTAAAAAGAAACAACTTATTTGAAAAATATTGTAATTGAGTCCAAACCAAAAATATTCAAGATATAGTTTGCCAAGTCTCTTATCATCACTGGAAACCTTCTACCTTCATAGAGGTATCCTTCTCATCCAAAGGTCTCAGGTAAACAGGTACAGGCAAGTTCTTCATCTTATTTTCACCCTGTCCACCATTTGCCACCTAGGTAAAAAAACAAATAAACTGGAAAAATTTTACCTTTAAAAGAGGTTTACAATCTTTGGAATCAGTCGCTCAGAATTTATTAAACACAATTAAGAGTTTTGCATTGTTGTCTCCTTTAGAAAGATTCTTTACTGCCAAGTTCAACAAAAAAAAAAAGCTGGAATCACTCAAACACAAGCTGTAAAATCATACCCTGTTCAAATGCAACAAAACATGAAGCTGTTACCATTACAGTTGAAAACATCATACCTGTTTGTACTTCTGAGGTAGACTCCATCCAAAAGCCTGCACTCTGCCATCCTCCTTCTGGACATGAGCTTTCACCTGGCGGTACTGCTCCCTCTTCTGCTCCCGGCGGGAGGCTAAACTCGCTTCAGTTCTGGGCAAGAATCAGGATAAAGGAACTTATTTATGCTCTTTAGAATCTCTTGTACAATGGGAATTGCTGTTAAACTCAACAACCAAGATGACTGGAAGCACTGGGTTACCAAGGATATCTCTAGGTTTTTTTTACCTATTAAACACCAGGTTTCCTGTGGGCTATTTTTAAGAGATTGGGGGGGGAAAAAGGCAAAACTAGAAAGTCTATTGCCAGCATCTTTAAAATAAATTAACTTGGCTTGTGTACCTCTACTAGGAGCTTTAAAAGTTGTAACTCACAAGGAAGTATTGTCAAAACAAAGCACAGGAGAAAAAAATAATTACAGATTCTTGTTAGCCTGACTCTCAAGTGAACCTTAAGTACCCATACAGTTATTGCCCAGTTACAACACTTTCATACAAAAGTGTACCAAGTGTTGCCTTCTGTGACTAAATGCACTTTCTTGAAAAGCAGTGGTATTTACCAAATAGAATATTTCAGCCAAGTGCTCAAAGTATTCACCCACTGCTGCACATTTCACTCTGCACTATCTTGAGTCCTCATGAATCAACACTCACTTCAAATTATACTTTACTTAGCAGCATGCTAGTAATCTCGGAGGACTAAAAGAGTAAATACTTGATAGAGCATATCTACTATAAAACCAAAATTTCTTACTCGTCACTGAGGAATTCAAAGGCTTTAGATTTGTCACTGGGTAACTGAGATAAGGTGCTGCTTCTTTTCTTGACTGATGGAGTAATGTGCGAGGTTGGAGCATTATATTTAACATTGACAGGAGGTTCTGGTTTCTTTGCTGTATTGCTGGATGAACTGAAGAGCCTGCTAAAACTAGAAGAAGAGAAAAAGACAAGAATCAAGATTTGTCAGATACATCCAAATTTGACTACACAGGCAAAATACAGCATATGCCAGCCTGCTCAAGACAGTTAAAGTAAGAAACTGGAGCCCAACATAGCAGCAGCCACCACACACTCAGCAATGCTCTTCACAGCACAAAAACTCGTGTCTGTAAGAAAAATTCTTAAAGGATTATTATCCCATTTATCAAATTCAATGGGAACCTTATCTTGAATTAACATCTACAGGGAAACAACAAAATTTGGATGTGAACATCACACCTGGAAGACAGTTCTATGAAGGACATGAGTTCATGCAGAGAGCATTTTTAAAAACCCACTATTTCTACACAAGATAAAAGTTATCAGCAAGTCACAACATGAAAAGGATTGTTTGACAAACATCTTGTTGAGAAGAACACTGGTTTAGATTTAAAGAGCTTGAAGTCAGAAAGGAGAATGTAACAATCAGTAAGCTGTACTTCACAGAGGGAAAAGAAGCTGAAATAAATGCAATCCACAAGTGCTATTCAGGTTTCTACTTGTCATCATAAAAATGAATCTGGAAAAAATGTTCAGGACAAGAATCCTGGTGTATATTCAGCTAGGAAAAAAATTCCAGCGCTTTGGCATTTAACTTCACCAAGTGCACAGCCACTCACTACATGCTGCAGCTTACAATACATTTTGTCCTCCAGAGCAGGCTTACCGAGTTGGCATGCTGGGCAACAAGAGGAGAAGTGTTAAGATATCTTCATCTGCCAAAAAATAATTAGCTAACATACACAAATGTGCCAGCTAATTGGTTAGGGTATTTATTTATTTCTGCCAGTAAGTTGTATTTCTATACTTACAATTGCCAAATGCTTGATCTTTTCTTCTCTTGCATGGCTGGATTTTCTCTGGATGCTCTACAAGAAATTAATTCCAAGTTTACTGACTAAGCAACAACTAAAAAAGGAAAAGGAATGAAATAGTATATAACTCTTATTTAAAAAAAAGGGTAACATCTTGAAAATAACGAAGCCTGTTTTTTCACACTACTGCTTCTTTACTGATCAGAGCACAATACTGAAATTCCCACTACAGGAAATAAAGTTACATAATACACTTCATCCACATTTCCTTGCATCCTAAACAAACTGGCAACTTTTCAGACAGAGACAAGTCTGCATAACACTTTATAATGAAGAAAGCAACAAACAATTTTAAATTTTTCTGCCCCCTATTTAATAGTTTAACCATTGGCTTTTGTTTTAAAGCCTATTAACCTTCAATAGATCAGTAAATAATTGATAAAGTGAGTGTTCCCATACCATAGATAAGAGAGGATTTCTACAGCAGATAATAGCTATAGAAGAACAAGCCATGGCTGTTGGGTCACAGGCATGAGGACAATGGGAACAATGATATGTCACTGCTGTCCATGGCCAGCAGGCAGCACCACAGCCTCTGGTACCCATGGTCAGGGACAAGGATGAGCTGGGCTGAGGTCTGAGGCAGAAGACTTAAGTTTTTAAACCATACCTTCCAAACAACTGAATATTCAGGATGCAAACGAGACCAAATCACCATCTTTACTGCTTATATTTAACAGCCTTGCACAACTTTAAACTGTTTTATCCTGAACAACTCAAGTCTTTCCAATGGAATTATGCTCAGTTTGAAGACAACATTATCCCTATTTTGACATCACAAGGTGTGTGTACACACAGAGTAATTTTTAATGCTCACCAGATTAATGTTATTTACAATTACCAACTTTAACTGTTCCAGAATAACCATTCCTGGAAAAAAATGTGTGTATTTCACATCATACCAAGTAACACATCTTCACCGAGTTCCTGCCAAGAACCATTCTGACAAATTATATGCCCATAACTTAAAACCAATGATCCTCATGGGCATGAGGAAAACAATCAGAAGGCAATGAACCTGCTGACTAGATCACTCAGCATCTAAAAATCATAAGGAGCTCTGTCAAAGATTCTGTAAGAGCCTTTTCACCTTATCATCTCAGTCCATCGGACAGCCTCCTGCAGCTCCATCAGCCTCTCCTTGTACTGGTTCCTCTCCATCAGCACTCGGGCCATCTCCACGCGTGTGAAGCGCTTCCGCTGCGCCGTGGGGACGTCGCTCTGGGCACACAATTAACAAACATCATCTGGGCAGCAAGTCAACAAACGTGGCAGGGACAAAGGAGCACCACAGGGCCCTGCAGAGCCACCCTCTGTCTCCTGATAACAGCCAGGCTAGGACACAATTCCACATTTCAAATAGTCTGGGGATTTTGAAATCTGGGTTTACCTTCCTCTCCCCTCCTATCCTTTGTATGCAATATAATGTGAATGAAAACAGCTCTTCAAAAAAAGAGTGTGGTGACAGTGGGCAGAGAGGAAAGCAAGCAAACTAATCATTGTCAATTTAAGTTTACTTGTGCTCTTTAGATCTTCTGTCGTTTCTATACAAGGAGGAACTTTACCACTACTTATTAAGCCGTAAGTTTTAGTAGCCCTCACTAAGCACGCAGACTTCTAATGTCCCATTGAATTGCACACACAAAACCACACATATGCACCTACATCATCATCCTCTTTAGCCTTCTGTCTTGCTTCTTCTGCTTCTGCACGAGCTCTGAATAGAAAATAAAAACCAGCTGTAATAAATACCACAGTAGAGTTTTTCTTCTTTTCCTTTTTTACAATCATAGAATTAAACTTACTTTTTCAGCTCTTCTTCCAGTTCTTTATTCTTCTCTTCAAGCTTTTGTTTTGCTTGTTTTACAGCCTCTAATTCACCTTGTAGTACATCCTTTTCACAGGTCAATTCATCCACCTTGGCTATTAAATCATTCTTCACTACATTCAGTGCATTTCTACACAAACATGGAAAACATACAGGTATAAGGATGGCCATGGCCTCACAATTCAGCCTGGTTTTATTTTTAAAGACCTACACATTTCTTACACAGAGCTGCTGTAAAAAGATACAGTTTTCTCAGAGGTCAAACCATCTACCCCCCAAATCTCCAACATTCAAACACATTCACATCCTCTCTATTAGAAAAAAGTACTGATAAATCAGTTTGCTTTGAATAAATTCCCCAACAGTGCTCCAGTGAATTTGCCTCTGCACTTAAAGCTGTGTTTCTGACATGGAGTTGATTTCATCAGGACACAGCACTGCATTTTTTGGACTCTTACAAGGATAAAAGCAGACTTTTCCTATTAGATACTTAATTTCTAGAAGAAGACCAACTCGGACAAATACACATAAAAATTCAAAATAATCACACCCTCATTACTCTTAGAACTGAAAGTAAATTTGTATCATTTCAATGCTGTATCAGGATATTGAAGATATAATGAAAGAACAGGAATTCAGTATTTTTTACATAAACATTCTCACTTACTTTGTCTCCAGCAGCTGAGTGTTTTCCAAAATAAGGTTTTCAACCTCACGCCCCATTCCTTTCCAAAGGAAACAAACACATAAAATTAGCAAATAAAATGGATGTTTTTACCAAACTTATGTTTCGCCATTGTCTAAAGTCAAATGAATTTTATGTATAACAAACATGTTAGAAGAACTGTGAGCTATCTGAAGTTTCAGGTCCAACCTACCTTCTACAATTAACTTTCCCTCCCACCTTCTCCCAGCCTGACTTCAATTAAAAAAGCCCAAAGACGTCCCTAACTAAGCACAGGACAGTGCTGCTAGTCTGTATATTTAGAAGATGTTACAATACTAAATCAAAAACCAAACACAGCACATGTTGCAGAAGTATTAGTCCTCAAAATGTTCAGTTTAAAATGCTCAACTGTCTTTTACATCATTGTCACTTTCTGATCTTTTATAAATAGATTTTTATATACCGAAGTCTATCAGTTATAGACACAAGACATGCTGAATAAAGTTCAGATTGTGAAAGCCCTGCAGATTTCCCCAGAGCAAATGATACCTTACCAAAGAAATTATGGTCTTTAAAGCCCATGCATTCCATGTAGAGCAAAAACAAGAACAAGAAACATTTCATGTGAGGTGTAGTATGAGCGAGAAGAAATAAAAGATTAAGACTTAAGAAGTAAGAGTGAATTAAACAAAGCCACCACCAAAAATCTGAAGTGGGATGTGATGTGATTAGAAGCAGGATTTATACAGAAGACTGATGTTGAAGAATTTAAGTTTGTCACAACCATTTCCATTGGTTAAACCTCTTATAAGAATCAGTAACTTAATAAAAGTCTCTCATTTTCTAGAAAATAATTTAGAAGCACAGTCCTTGGAAGAAATTCTAAGCCATTCAGAAGTTTCCAATTAATATGCTCTTATGAAGAAAAGTGAACATAACTTTTCAAGTAACTACTTCAGTGTTACTTAAATTTCTGAAAATTAATTTCTCCCCCTATTTTTTGCATACCTAATATAATTTTCAGAATTTTAAAAAAGGTAATTCCAGGAGAGAATAATTATTTTGCACCTTGCATAGCAAAATAATTATGACACAGATAACAGCAGAAATTATGTTAATCAAGATTAACATAAATAATGAAAAAGGTATCTTAATGGTGGAGGCCTTTTAAAATACTTTAGGAACACAATCTTCTAAGGAACTTTGGCAGCACGAGACTTTAGAGATATTTGGATAACAAAAAAGAAAAGGCATCTATAAATAGACATGCAAGTCAGAGTTCCCTCTTTTGACGTTTCCCTCTCTGGGTTTTGGATTATAAGTAAATTACATTTACTGAAGTAAATTAGATCAGCCATGGTTAATTTATCAATATCTGGATAAATTCCCTATACTATCACCATCAAAAGATTTTATTCAAGTTGCTACTGCTTTTTAAACATTTTCAATATTCACAAATAAAAGTATGTAGGATCATGTCCAACAGATTTAAGGATCTTTTATAAAGCAAGAACAAAAACTAGAAAGCCAGAGTGCAACAGCAAAAAAAAGTTACCAAGCGGGGGAAAAAATGCAGAGAATGAAGCAGCCAAGAATGCCTAACTGGAGAAGCAACAGATTTCAAAGATTTTTTTGAAAAAAGAAGCATACACACCAGAATATTCCCCTGGGTATGCAGCCCAAGAGAAAACAGATTAGAGAATCCCAATTAACTATTTGAAACAACTCCATACTGAAGTTTAATGCTCACTTAGAACAGGTCCAAATGCTTCAAACACACAGACTATCATGGATGCAGATGTGGCTTTTCAGGTTTTGGACTATAGTTGTTCTCAAAGCAAAATGATGATTCTAAAATAAAATTTTCAGACCAACACATCCTGCATAACAAATGCAGATTTAACCCTAGGCTTAGTGTGCACACACTGGTGTTTCCAGCAACAGATTTACAAAAAATGGTAATAAACTCACTGACAAGCCTTAAATAAGTTATACTAAAAAGTGTATTATTTCTTGCCCATGAAAAACAAAGCATTAGAATCAGGACATCCTGACAACAGTTTGATTTCTTTAATCGGTTTATCACAGCTAAGGGATGGATGTTGCTCCATGTTAATACTTCTCCAGTATCTGAATTTTTGCATGCAGAATGTGTGATTAGTTGTCCCTGTGAGAATGGAATGACAGCCAAGAGTTTTAGATGGAGTGTGTTGCAGTAAGGATGTGGAGAAACTCACTGCTCAGAGTGACAACAAAGAAAAACTTTCTCAGACTGGAAACAGGTCATTACTCCTAGTGAGTAATACCTGCAGAAATGTCACTTGTTTGATATAAAAAAAGTTTCTGGAGGAACGCTGAACAACCAGAAATCCATATTGCACACAGGAGTTTTAACAACCCTAACAATCTGTATTTTTGCAGGGTCAGAGGACAGAAGCAAACAAACTGCTGATTTTCTGCACACAACTCATTTTGAAAGCACCTGAGATAGTGTCTGCATTTTATACATTCCACAGTACCAGCTTTCATTATTTCAAAATGAGGCCTGAACAATTACATAGTTAAAAATATCTTGCTATATTGCTTATAGAAAGATTATTCTTCTGATGACCTTTTTGATTTCGGTCAACTCAAAACTCAAGTTTATTTCAGTCAGCACAGAAGTAATAGCAAGCTGCTTAGGGGAAGGAGAAATGTGGGCTTCCCCTCCCCTATCAATTAACAGTTTGATTCTCAAATTACCACAATTTCATTTGCTGCAATTCTCTTTCAAGTTAAAATCCCTAAGGAGGTAATAAAGACAGGCCACTACAGATCAGGCACGACCTGAATAAAAATACCTAAAACTAGTTCAAGACAAAAATCCTTCCTTGAGAAAAAAATCGTTATGTAAGAGAACATACAGGAAGAAATGGAGAATAATGTACAAAGTGCCCCAAAAGATTAAGATCATTATACAGAGAGAAAGAACAAACTTCGGGTTTTGCATTCCAATGACTACCTTAGGATGCTACTCAAACAATTTTAATGCAAATGAAGCCTAACAACAAATCCAGCAAGACTAATTAAGCACTTCCAAAGAAAGGAAAATTTCTGTATACAGCATCTTTCTTACCCAGTAAATCTGCACCTTCATCCACATCTCCAATTAGGCCAGAACCAGCAGATGACAGCTCTTCAAAGAGTGACTCTGTGTTACGGTCAAATGCTTTATTCTTGATGCCTTTGGTGGGAGTGCTGGGCAGAGAATTAAACAAGACATGAAAAAGCAGAGAGATAACACTCCCACAAAGAAGAAAAGCTTTCTCTGTATTTTTTGTCTAGAGTTCATTTGTTCCCTCCAACAAACTCGACAAGTTTACAGTTGGCTTACAAGTTCTAGATTCTATTTTCAAATACTGCCTTGACATCAAGATCCCAAACTTAAAGCAGTTGCTGATACTGAGCTGGACAGGATTGTAATAAATTAAAGCATATCAAGCTTTCGCCTATAGAAATTCAGTTGTGTCAGGACTTAGCCCAAAAGCCTAAAGAATAGACAGCTCAGCTAAACTGGAAGTCATTTAATATAACAAGAATGCAAGATAACTGAATACTAGGAGGTCAAAATATTCCTCTGGTCAGAGAAGGGGCTCCTTTCACACAAAACTCTTCTTACACCCTTAAGATTCACCATACAGGGTAATTTTATCCTTCTCATCACAAGAATTAAACAAAGACAAGAAAAGGAAAATTCCCATACACAGCATTCAATTCCCATACACATGCATTTAATTTAAATAACCTTCTAAAATTTGTCTTCTTCCTCAAATCACAACACACAACCTACCTGGAACCCTTATATCCACTGAGATCTTTATCCATATCCAACTCTGGAGTTGACTCAATAATTGCCTGAACTTCAGATTTTTCTTCATTTTCATTTCCCCCTGGGGCAAAGCAAGTGGTACATGCCCATAAATAAAATCATCATGGCATATTAACTACATGTAGTAGTTCTTAATCGATCACCAACTTAAGCTACTTCTGTTCAAAGACTTATCAAAGTAACTAAATTAAAAAACCTGCAGTTTTGATACTCTAGTGCAGACACTGGAATTTCTAGGTCTCTCCTGAATTTAACACAAGACATCCAGCAGCACTTATTTCCTACTACTTCTGCAATTGAAACCAAGATGTCCAACACTTCACAACCCTACTGCCAAAGAAAAGTCATAAATAATTCTGATTCTGAAGCACAAAAGACTAAAGTCACCAATAAACAACAGATTTATCTCTGACTAATATTCTGTACTCCTTAAAATACTGATTAAAAGCCCCATTCTCATTTGTGGCACAATAAAAGATAATTAATAAGTGATCAAATATGAGGTCCATAGTAACCCTACATGAAGAAGTTAAAGCAGCTCACCGGTGCATACATTTCTTGTCTCTTGAGCTACCTGTACTTCAATATTCTTGCTTACATCCAGTTTCTCATTCAACATCTCAGTGTCCTTTGCATGCCCTTCAACATTTTCCTTTTGAGGGGTTTCAGCAGGCAGCACAGGAACATCTGAAGCAGCTGTGGATGCTGGCGTAGTACATTTGGAGCCTGCTTGGCTAACATCAGAGAGCTCATCCTAGAATTGCACCATTACCAGTAAAAAATGAACACAAAGTGTTATTAGAAGAGTTGGGGCATGTAAGCTAAGGAACAGACAATAAAATCACTATATTTTACTGAAAATTATGCAAATGCAAAGACAAATGAATAAAAATTATATTTTAACCCAGTACAGTCATCTTTAGCCTATGGTTGTTTCACTCTTATTAAGTCAATTATAGCTACATAAAAATGCCTTTATTTTTAACAGTAATATTGGATCTCAGTTGATAATTCTAGTCACTACTTTTCTGTGAAGGCTTCCAGAAAACAAGTAGCATTCTCATTCTAAGAGTCCATCTAGCTGCACAATGAACTGCCTAATCTTCTTAAAGCTGTTACAAAATTAACGGTTCAGAATATGGTACCTTAAAAAGCAGCCACTGAAGAACTGATGCAAACTTGGATTTAACTGATATAAAACTGTAGTAATTTATTGAATCATAATTACAGAATGGTTTGGGTTGGGAGGGACCTTAAAGATAATTTTGTTCCAACACCCTGCTGTGGACAGGGACACTTTCCACTAGACCAGGTTGCTCCAAGCCCTGTCAAAGTTGGCCTTGAACATTTCCGTATTTGCAAGCACTTCACTCAAGTTTCATGAGCTTTCCAGTCTGAACTGTGAGCGCTGCTGACACTGGGAACGGGACTGGAACTGCCACAAATCCTTGTCCAGTTAGATTTCAGGAACATCAGGAAACAGCTCCTCCTCAGAAGCTGATTCCTGGCAACAATTCACAGTGACAGTGTCAAGACCCATAAGTATGACATTAATTAGGATTTAATCCAGCTGCTGGACTCCAGATTGGGACCACCACTCAGACAGAGCTGCATCAAGCACTGTGTGGGAGGGCAGAGTGGACTGAGTGTGACACAACCAGAGGCTACCACCTGAATATACCAACAGCCTTTTTTGGCTCTTCTCTCATCTCCTTCATTCACATTTTACTGCCCATTCACGCCCAGACCCACATCAGATGTCTGATCTATGACTTAAGCAGCACATGACAGTGAACAACAGCTCACTGCAGAGGAAAACAAGTCTGCCTGTTTAGGCCAATAGTTTCTAACACACACCATTAAAGGAATCTTGTTGGGGAAAATAAAGATGAAACTTGAGGCTGCTGTGTGCAAAATGGAGGCAGGATGGTAACCCTTGATAAAAAGTTCTTGTAGAGTTTGTTTGGGAATCAGAGGTGAAAGCAAGGCTCCTGGACAAGTCTGTGACATTTCTTAAAGAGAATGTGACTGAACTTGTCAAGAACAAAACAGGTTTAGATTTTGCAAAGCACAAATTCACTGCATGCCTTTTTGAGGAAGGAATAAAACTGAATTTTAAAAAAACCCTGCATTTAGATGTACACTGTCTCACTTGTACTTAGCAAATAAGATTACTATGAATTGTAACTTACAGATTTCTCCTTTTGGAACTTACTAAGGCAAAAATTTTATTTGTGTGGGGACAGGGAGGAAAGCACACATTTATGTATATCAGCATAAATGTAAAGCTTGCATCCTATAGTAACACCTCCACATTGAATTTGCAAGCCCTAGAAACAAAAATACAGCACTGACTTCCTATCAATTATTGACAGTTCTCATTGTTTTATAGTAAATTTCAGAATAACCAATTATTAATATTTGGTTTTCTGTCAAATGTATTCAGAAATACAGACACCTCTAAAGGAAAGAAAGAAAAGAAAAAAAAAAACACTCTACAATTTACCCAATTGCCTTCTGAATGGGTGAAGCTGAGGCACTGGCTAATGGGTCATACTTGAGTGAGCAGATACAGAAGGGAGGAAGTGGTGCCCCTTACCAAGGGCAACCAGAGCTCACACAAATGAGGAATAAAACCTCAGCAGAGCTGCTGGCTCTGTTTAAACATTTCTACATCTTTGTATTCCAAGACCATCCACTAACTGATGCAGCACAAACCGATCACTGAATTTCACACACAAAGCTCAAGGAAAATAGCTCGATAGCACAAGAAAAAACAGGGACTAGAACGGTCCTTTCCCTAAGGGAATTTCAAATCACCCCATATATTTTATATTTCTGACTTTATTATCTATGGTATTTTCTTAGCTTACGCTTGGAAACCACACAAATTAAACTATTACAAATATCTGTTCTAGAACTAAAGAAAAGCAAAAGCAATTTAATTAAATGACACTGAATTAATCAGAATATCTCAAAGACTAAACATTTGAAATTCAGTGCTGTGCTGACTTAGCAAAATTGACTTTTTTCATCAAGTGCTAGACAGGTATTAAGTTCACTTAAGAGGAAACTCCTCTCAGCTATATGCTTTTCCAAAAATAACAGTACATCCCAAAAAAAACTCAAAGAAATATATACTGGGAGGATTTACACATTCTGGAGTTCTTCACCCTGCAGATCCTCCTCCTGCTGTGCTGTGAGTGCACCCTAGACTGCCAGACTCATCACACTCCAACACCACTCCCCCATTCTTCCATTCCTGCAGATTGTTTTATTCCACCCTCTCACAGTTGGAATGTAGAACAATTGCAGGAATTATAGCCAAGCTACAAGTAAGGGAAATCATGCTCACAGACTAATTTAGGAAAGTTAGGTCATTCTCAGCTCTGTGGTCTACCTGCACCATACATCTGGTAGTAGGCAGAGGCTGCATGAAGAGCACTGCCCATGTAGTAACCAAAGCTTTCCTTCTAAAGCAGCATTAATAAAGCTAATTAGACTGGTCCCACTACCTAGTAACATATTTAGTGTAGAAAAATGAGTTGGAACCTTTGGAAATGGTCCCTAGTCAGAATGAAAAGACCCACTACTGAGAATAAGAGAAGAACTAATCTGTATTATCACGCCTATGGAAAATACCTCCAAAACTTTGTTTCTTGTACAAAGAAAAGCTCCCTCAAAGTTCACTGGAGTAAGCAATGCATTTGGCTTATATAGAGATGTTTTAGGGGTCTACATCCCCCTTTCAATTTGGTGGCTTTTTGTTTTTTTCCATCCTCCCAAAGATCTACCATCTGTTATGGGAGTTTTTCCTGCCACACAAGGCAGCAGGGCTGCACTCACCTTGAGGCTGGTGTGGGACCGTGGCTGGCTCAGCTCATGGAATTTCCAGTGCTCTGCTGCAGGTGTTTCTGCCACCTCCCTCTGAGCCTCAGGCGTGAGGAGAGCATCTCCTGCAGGTAACGGGAAGATGCCCAGGGATACTGGACGCTCCTTCCTGTTGTAAAGACATGCAGGGTTCATCAGCCACCTCAAATGTCCCACAGTTTATTTTCCTGCAGGCCTCTGAAATCAGCAGGGAAGTGGTGAAATTCCAGGTTCAAATATCCAGACACTGCTCCATTAAATGCGCAGTGCAGCACACCCAGACTGTGCCACAACACCCAATAATTCTTCATTTCACAATTGCCAAGTCAATTCCATGGCTTTAAATAGCAGTTATTGATTTACACTACAGCTAATCTGTAGCAAACAAAAGTTTTATAGAAATGAAACACCTGTTCAATAGAAGTATAAGACAAAAGTGTTTCCTTACTTCAGATTGAAAATAGTTTTCAGCAGCCACTATTAAAAATACCATTTTTCACCTTTTCCTCCAAGATATAACCACATAATTTCTACAAAAGCAAACAGCTAAACCATCAACTGAAGCATTTGCAAAATTGTAAACAGTAAGCCTCAAGCAAATCTTCTCAAATCATTTGGTATTTTATTCCTGAAGATCACAGAAATGGATTTCTGTAAGAGAAAAGAACTGGGTCAGGGAATTACCAATGTTACAACTGGCTAAGCTAAAAATTGTGTAGTTTTACCCAAGATCAGTTCAACACACTACTTCACCCTAAAACTGCACAAAGGCTTGTGCCAGAAAGCAAATTATTTCATCCCAAGTTTTCACTTCTTCACTCTTTCTACTTCCCTATAACAAATAGCATTTGGAAATTTTAAAGGTTTACGTAGTAACCCTCAAAAGAAACAAAAAATCCCTAGTCAGTAGTGTGCTCAGTGAACAAAAGGATTCGTTCTTCCTGCTAGCAAGAGACAAAACCATTGTGTGCAATGCCATTCATAGGATGCTGTGGCCAGCCCTGAAAAGGAAAAATACCAGCCAGGCCTAGAACTGAGATAAGCAAAGTGTTTGTTCAGGCAGAACAATGTAATGCAGAAAAAAATCACTATAATCAACTAGCACAGCTTTAAGTATAGTAGATGGAGAAGATAAAAGTACGTACAAGTGACAGCAGAGTTTTCACATTTTAGCATTATAAAAAGCCAAGACACAACCACACGTGCTTTCTTTCACAACGTCCTTCACAAATTAAACATAACCCAGGCAGAATTAGTATCTGCATATAAAATACATGCAAATATATGGCAAGCAGTGCTGAAAAGCAAAAGCTAAGTGGTTTTGGACATATTTTTGATTTTGTTTATTTACTTTGAAGAAATGTTAGTGAAGAAGGGATTTTATTTACCAATTAATCAGTAAATTCCCTTTGGTAAATTTTACATTGTCAAAATCACAATGTTCAAACAACAAACAATTTGAACTGGCATGAACTTTTCCAGTCCAAGTGTACAAAGATGCTCCCTGTCACAAAAACCTTTGCACCTAATTCTCACATTGGAGCAATCATGGCCTTTCAGAAATATTATTCCAAATTAAGTAATTAATTGTGAAGTAGTTTAGCACAACAAAGTGAGTAAAGCAAAATCAGTCTGGGTTACAAAATTCAAAACATCAGATAATGTTCCAGCATCTACAACTGCTGCAATGAGAAACCTCACAGTGGATTCCAAGGATTCCCACTATTGTAACAGGTCCTGCTTTGCTTTCGATTTCCCACAACTCTCAGGCATGTGGGGAACAAAAGACAGGCCACAGAAGCTGAGATTATGTCAAAAGAGGGGCTGAGACTATTTCAGTGGATAAGAAGTGCAGGAACAAAAAGGAGGAAGAAAAAAAACTGCCTTTCAGTGGTTGATAGAGCTGCATTGTGAGGGTCCAGCACGTTCCTGTATTGCAAGACACGCCACAAAGCTGATCAGCTCTGCAATCCTCAAAAGAAAGAATATTAAATGGGTGCAGTTTAAACAGTTCACACCTGGCATCACTTTTTTTTCAAGATTAGTTTGAAAAAAAATAATAATAAGCATGCTTTCATGTGTTAGAACAGAGGTCAGGTGCATTGAAAGGCTGCATAGTAAATGAAGTTTGCAAAAGAGGCTAATTTTGGAAATGAAACATTATATGAGTGTCCGCAATAAAAGAAATGATCCAGTTAGACTGAAGCAATTTCAACTTATTTCACTGCTTGTTCAACAGAAAGCAAAAAGCCTCTTCTCCCTCCCCAGTGCCCAAAAAATAGCTGAAAATGCCACAATGAGCAGAATGGAAACGCATATTTTAAAAGCCTAAACTAATATTCTGAAGTGATGCACTGAAGCATTTGCAGGAACCTTGAGGAACTTTTAGATGCTCAGTTCTAAAATCTGACTAGTGTTTAAAAACAGGAAAAAAATCTTCTACAGTTACATTCCTTCATCTTATATTTGTATCTCTTTTTTAAAATTAATAAAGATTAAGAAAGTAAATTCTAATTCATGTAATTCCTAAAGAAAATTAGAAGGGCAGGAAAAAACACAGCTTCCCCAAGCCCCTCAAATGCATTTGCTCCGGGGGAGCAAAAGCACATTACAAAAAAAAAAAAAAAATCTATTTCTCAAACCATCTGACTTGTTTAAAACTTAAAAGTAACTTGTAAGTTATTGAATATGAAGTTCTGTTTTGGTTTTGTTTGGTTTTAGAGTTGGGACATATTTTTTCTGGGTTTGGGTTTCTCCCTCTTTTAAACAAACATAGCTTTACTAACTAGGTCAATCTACAGAGTTTTACTTGAAATTTATTTTATTTCTTCATACTGAAATACTCATTCAAGGTTTTTATCAGCTTCTGGTATAAACTGCTATTTTTTTCCATCTACTGATTGCTTTTAACCTTTGGAACAACACTTCCAAGCTCGCAGACCCAAGTTAAAAACATACTACCATATGGAATCTACATGCACCGAGTATTAAGAAGGAAAAAGTCACATAGCTGTTCAGAGAACACTAATTTCCAGCATTTTTCCCATTTAAAATAAAATTTACTATTACGTCTATAACCACAGGTAAAACATGTCAAGTTTTCAGGCCAGAAAGCTGCATTTTAAAACTTTTCCATCTGTAATTATGGTATTAAAATGTGCCAAGACTACTTTTGGCCACAATATTCTAAAGCATTTCTGCCTGCTACTGCTCCAGGCACACAGGACAAACAGAACATAACCTGAGGTGGGGGGACAGACAGCTGGCAACTTGCCATACAAGTACTGAAACAGAGGAGAGGGCAACATTTGGCTGAACAATAGTGAATAGGCTTTAAGAGCTCAAATGCTTAAATAATGGAAGATTTTTTTCCCCACCAACCAATAATCAGATTTCTTTAAAATAACGTGATCAACTAATTACTGTGGTTTTAACATCAATTAACTGATCTTACATAAGCCTTTTGATAAAAACAGGTGCAGTTTAATAGTACAAAGCCTCAGCCTGCATACATTTATGCAACACAAGATCAGCCAAGTACCTGACAATACACGGAACGTGAGCTTTATCCCTGACATTAACATTGCAGCTTTTGCAGCAGGTTATAATAAACTGATGTTAAAGCTTTGCACAGGAAAGAGATACATAAACTGACCTTAAAAGGCAAAGAAAAAAATAGATTGTATCTCCATACATAGACACATCTACAACAAAACCTGACATTTATACATCATTTACTTCTCTAATTTGTCCCTGTTTGAAAACGCAGGATAACAGAAAGCAGGGGAGCATCGAGAGCAGACGAAGATGGGGTTCAGTGGGTCAGAGTACCTGAGGATCCTTGGGAGGTTCTGCGTCAGAGCTGGCACCCCAGTGGAAATGGAAAAGTGCACGAGCAGCAGAACAGAGAGCGACACCAGGATGGCTGAGTTAATGACCACCGCCCCGCCAACGAAGCCAAACACAAACAGCAGCATGCAGCCCGGATTCATGGCGCTGCGCTGGCATGGTGGAATGCCGGCTCCAAGGAGGCTACGCAGGGGCCAAGGGGGGATCTTTGCAGGCAAAGTCTGTCATTCAGCCGCCACCACAAAAACAATGCCATCAGCAGCAGCAGCAGCAGCAGCGTTCCACTCTTCTGCAGCAGCTCCAAAGCAATGACATCACCGCCCTCCTCCCCCTCGCCGCTCCTCGCAGCATCGATGCAGCAGCGCAGAAGCACAGCCAGCCCCAGCGTGCTTCTCCCTCCTTCCACCAAGGGATCCCAGATTCCAAAGGTCCCAAATCTGCATAATCTATTCCCTGCAAGCCCTGAGGACAAGCAGGTACCACGCACGCACACAAAGACGCAGCCAGACCGTGGCCATGCTGGGACAGTCACTGATATTTTCCCTGCCTGCCCCAACACAAACACTCCAAAAAGCTCAAATTGTTTAAGCCTAATTAATCTACGAGGTCTATCTCAACGCTCAGCCACACAGCAGCAAAAGCCGCTTTCTACGGATTTCTGTGCTGTCCTCTTACCACGTTCCAATCGTACAACAAATCTTTCTGATTCAGCCCAACTGTTGTTATAGGATTAAAGAGCACAATCTTGCAAATACAAATGAACTGAATTTTTTTCTCATTTCAGGGTGAGAGAAATAAATAGCTTACCTAATTCTACTATGTGTTGTGGATTCTAGCTGATCACCCCCTGTTAGCTGATGAAGTTTGGTTCTTTCCAAGTGCTCCATATAATTGTGTATCATCTGTTTAAAAGGACAGAAACAGCAAGAAATATTTAGTAACATTTACTTGTACTACAACTGCATAGTTCTTGACCAATATACTCTCCACCCTGTAATGCTAAATAGTAAAAGCATTTAGAGGCATTAAGAAAATAAAGAAAGAAGAAAAATTATAGAGTGTAAAACCACAAACCAGAAGCGAAGCCCATAATAAATTAAAAATATTGGAGAACTTCCTTGTACATTCATGCACAGGAAACATCCTAAGGGTAAAGAAAGTGCATGCAATATTTCAAACACGAGTTTGGAAAAGAATTACCATGTTCAAATCCATTTTGGAGTCTGAGATCTCTATGTCCAGCAGATATAAGCATTTTTTACATGATACATAATAGGCACTATAGGCCTAATTGCAGAGTACAGTGAAGGTCAGACAATATGCTCCTCAAATATTAAAGACTCTGAATCCATAGGCTAATAATCAGATTATTTCTGTAGGCAGAAATATGAAGTCCCCACTTCTCCTTTTTTCTTCTAAAACACAAAAAACTTAAGCTTTCTGTATTTTCTACAAGGGAAGTTTGGTTTGAAATTATCTAGGCTGACATCTCATTAAAAGGACAGAGTGGCTGTGAATTTTTAGCACTCAAAATGAGTTCTGCTTGCTCTTTCTCACAAGAGACAAGCACAGGCCAACATGGTATTCCCACAGCCATTACTTGTTTATTGAGCCCCAACTTCCATGGCCAAAGGATGCTGCTTTCAGCATTTAACTGATCCAGGATATGCATGGGGAGAAGGACCAGGTATCACTGCATCATTCCAGGGGCTTCATTTGGACACACATATCTGAACTTAAATTTGGGAAAGCCTGAGAAGCCTATGTACAATTTCGTATTTTTGGCACTTTCAACGTTCATGTTCACATTCAGGTCACATCTTAACAGCTGCCTCTAGGGGGAAAAAAAACAACAAACTATTCTTTAAAACTGTAATTTTTTCTGCTATTCTACAAAGGGTATACAAACACTTCAGAATAGTGATATTCCAGGCATTTGTACACATGAGTACTGAACTCAGCAGGACCTGGAAACCTACATTTATGTGTTACTCTCAAGACAGGTTTGATCTTCAGATCCCACCAACCTCAGCTAGTTCCAGCTTCTCAAATGCCATTTGCCAGCATTAGCGACGCAGGAATAAATATTCTTAGTTTCAGATTTTTCTGATTAAACAAACTGCCTTAAGACATCCTGACTGATGGATATTATACAAATCAGTAACTTATGTTAAGTGCTGGTTATATACAGATGTTGGTTTTCCCAGCATTCACCTGAACTAATAAATATAATTCAGACCAGAACAAAATATCATGCTATTTTCAGAGAAACATTATATAATATACTTAGACTGCTGTCAAAAGCTTACAACATTTATCCTCCAAAAAAATGCAGTGTTTCATCAGACCATCCCATTTGTTTTCTGGTTTTTAATGCTTGCTCACACACAGAGACAAACAAAAGGCACAAAAGGCCTGAAAGCTCCACCTTCAACCATCCACATTTGTTTTTTTCCATTTTAACCAAGCAGCCAGAACTAGGTGTTCCACTTGTTCCTTTGCATAGTTTTACACAAATTTATTATAATGCAGATAGTTTAGGAATTCTGGGGAGAAGGGGAGGGGATGGGGACCCCCAAGAGTGTATAACTTTGAAATGCACATTACACCATTCTGTATCCTGTTCATGTATTCCCTCATCATGGGAGGAAGATGTTACTGACCTACAAACACTCCCATTTTCAGCACACCGATTGGTTTCCCAACCAAAGTTAAATTTTAAATAGAACAACTGCTGTGTTTTCAACCAGTGAACAGAAGATGAGTGTCTAGTACCTCTCCAGGGAGCTGCTAACACATAAAAAAAAATAATAGGGTCAGTAAAACCCACACAACTTTCAAGTTTTGCAAAGGACATGATTTTAACCTACTCTCTTTCCCTCCTCTAAGTCTGTTCTTTTGTTTACTGAAATGTCTCATCACATTCATTACCCACAGAGGCTGGAGGGCAAGTCAATTTAAAGGACTATTCAGTTTATACTGTTCTGCAGCTGAAAATGAAGCTGATAATAAAATAAGCAAATCTATAGATCACATACTTCAGCACAGTACATATGAGCTATAGGAACCAAAAAAATAAAATGAAAAACAAAATGTGCAGTGCTGCATGGCAACTGAAGATTCACAGACTCATAAGTTTCTATGTGCATGTACAGCACAACAGCAATTTTTCCACAGATCCAGGCTATATGTGCCTGTGGTGTCCAAAAAATCAGAACAGTGGTACCACCATGTAAAGCCCACTGAATGCCTCAAGTCAGGGTCCCAAAAGTTGATAATACTGTTATAGTGTCCCCAAGGAAAAGATTTCCTCACCCTCCCTTCCCATGGAATGAGCAGCTCCACAGCTGGTGCTGTAGAGTCATAAGAAATGGTGTGTGGATTTCCAACTTCCACAAACTTAATTTGAAGGTAAAGGTAAGTAAATACCTCAGCTTCTTGAGAAGTAAGCCCACTCAAACTGCTCATCTGCAATAAAACTTTGAAGACTCACTCCAAAACCACTGAGATTTGAACCAGATGACATTCAAAAAATCTTTTCAATCTAAATGACCCTCAAGCTTTGGCATATCCATGATGTGACATTCTGACCCAAAAACCTGTAATGAATTAAAACACTAGAATTCTGAGGGCTCAAAATCTGACTAGAAGTTCTGCTGTTTTGAGATTATTCCACTGTTGAAATAAAAAGGTTTTAATATTAATGACAATTTAAAAATAGACTTAAATGGATTGAATTGCTCTCTGCTCATCACAATTTTTCCTGAAGTTATGCTGGAGCACAGATGATAAATAATTGACTATGTCTACCTGTCTTCAATACAAGCTGCAGTAAATATTTAGTCATCCATAACCTTCCACTATGGACAACTCACTCTGCTGCCCATGAAATCCACAAGTATTTTGAATACAACCAGTTGTTCCTGGGCATACACATCACAAAGACAGAACACTTCAGCATTGCTGTAATTAAACACTTTACTCAATTTTGATTAGCTCAGGAGATTAAAGATAAACTCAGAACTTGGAAGAATTACCTTAGTTAACAGCATTTCACAGTTCAGGTGTTAATGATTTTAAGGCACATGTACAAACCAACTACAACACACTTTTGAACACATTACAGAGTGAACATGAAATCAATTCCCTTTGAATGTAATGTCTTTCCACCTCATAAAAACACTCAAATTGGTATCCTCATAGGGCACATGACAAGTTTTACAACTGCAGAAGTGTTACAAGGTTTTTCTACATCTTAAACTTCAGCACTCAGTAAAAGACAATGAACATCCTGGCACTCATTTCAATTTCTACTTTTACAAATACAACCACTCCCAGTGTATACAAGCCTGGCACTTGTCACAAACAAATGTGGATATGCCATGTTGGGGATGTTGTTACCTGCACCTTTGTCTTAACCAGGTTGAGAGAATCTTCTTTATACCTTCCTTGCTCTTTTGCTCCTCCTTCCTTTTTGTGTCACTGCTTTAGCTCCCCCAGACAGGTTTTAGTAATTCTTTGGCTGACAGACCAGGCTCAGTGCTACAGACCCTGCTGCTTATCCTGCAGATCCAATCAGGCTGGGCACAAGCAGCTCCTCCCTTCGGGAATGTGCACCCAACTGTGTGTATATAGATCTTTTTCTGTTCCACATAATCTAGATTTGTTGAGGTAACAGATATTTCTAGAATCTCCTTGATTCAGTATCAAAGTCCTAAACATACTTCCATGTAAGTACCTTTTTTCCTTTCAGGGTTTATGGTGAGTTTCTCACCTAAGCAAAAGCACCATTCCCACTGGAGAGCTTGATGCATTATTTATGCACACACAAGATGGTATTGCTGGCAGATACATTAGTATGTAAAGATGTTACATCCAGGTTTTATAGATCAAGCTGTTAATGCTCAACATAAGTCTTTAGAAAAACTATTTGCTTGAATTGATATCCAAAGTCTAATCTCACAGACAATGTGACAGCTGCCCATGCTTTGCTGCAATTGTAAATAGACAACTCCACTAGCCTTCTCTTCCTGTCCCCTGCCCAGGGACTTGCTGGGGATATGTTTATCCTAATGAACCTGACAAAGTCCATTCCCAATGCCAGAGCCAGGCTCACTGTTCTGTCACATTGTATCAGTGCAGAACACTGAGAAACTTCCATGGCCCAATTATGCTTCATTAAACTAAGCCCATATTCTGTGTGTCAGGGAAAGATATCGAACCACCTCAGTCTAGTGTGTCCCAAAGGAAAAAAAGAATAACTTCCCGAAATAGAGGAAAAAAAAAAAAAGGTTTCTTTCAGAAACCTGTGCAGAGAGAGGCCACAGGTCAATTCTCCAGGAGATCTCAAGTATTGCTTTGCCTCAGTTTCCCAAAAAAGTAATAAATATAAAAGCCTTAGCCAAGTCTTTAAAAGCCAGTGCCATAGTTATGAAGTTATGCCCTTTAGCTCTGCAGAAAAAAGAAAGATCCTTTTACCTCCTACTCACCAGGCAAAAACACCCTGAATGGTTTGCTCTGAAAGAGACAGTGGCAGCAGTACATCTCAGCAGCAAAGGCAAAAAAGCCCTCACAGCTACAAAGAGCAGACAGGCCTGTTTTATCCAGGAATGAAAACAAGTCAGATTCTATTCTATCCAGATTCTATTGTATCTGTTCTAAACAGAACAGATACAAGAGGCAACTGACAGAACTCCTTTCTAATTCAAAGAGCAAAGACTTGAAGACTTTAGCATTAGACCACCATAAACCATTCTGCTTTCCAGCACACTGCCCTTGGCTGTATGATTGCTTCCTGCATCTGGACCTGTACAATCAGAGAAAGATGGAACCAAGACTTTGCATAGTTAGATTCCAAAAGTTCCACCTCAGGAATTCCAGCACACTGCTTTGTCACTCATCTCATCTGAGTGTTAGAGCAGAGTATGAGCAGCACAAGATGAAAACCCACTGCAAGCACAGGAAAGACAAGGAACCAGAGCACACAAGTCAGAACATGTCCAGGCTGTTCCATCTGTTCTGTTCCGACCAAACATTTTATCCTCTTCACTACCTGCTACACCCCACCTTCCAATTTGCCATCTCAAATGTTCAGGTTCTTATACCCTAATCCATTTAAAATCAAGCCAGCTAGCCCAAGTACAGTCTTAGTGGGAAGGAGGCTTAATGGGATATCCTGCACTCCCACCAGCCAGCCCACTGCCCTCTCCAGAGAGCAGCGAGACAGACACTGATTTAACAGAAGGCTGATGGAGGGTAAAGCCTGTCCCCAGAGCTCTCCCCAGCCAGGGCAGCCCTGCTATCTCTGCAGCTGCAGACATTTGATTGCTGGGCAGGCTGGTGCTGGAACTGCAATGCAGACCCTGTCTCTGTCAGGCTGAGTTCCAAGGAGAACTCGCAGCTCTCACCACAATACACACACTGAAGAGGAATTGATTCAGCACTCTGCTTCACATCCCTGGTAGAACTCCCCAAGGTGACTCAGTTTCAGAAGGTCTTGGTCCATTAGGATTGAAAATGGGTGACATTCCCTGGGGTGCTGAGCCAGCACCTTTGCTGGGCAGTGAACTCTAGCAAAGGCAGCAAACTCCAGCTGCCACAGACAGATAATAGGGAGGGCTGAAGGGTGGGTATTGTGAAGGACATGGATACAGAACCTCAGGTGAGGAGTTAGAAGAGAAAGACATCCAACTCTGAAATATTAATCAGTGAAGTAAAGAATACGGGAGGGTGGGAGGTGGAAGGAAACAAATAGTGAAGACAGAAGAGAGAAGAACTGCTACAAATTCAGATTGCACAAAATGCAGTAACAGTGGATCTTTAACATGAATCTGTCAAAGTAAACATCTTAGAGCTAAATAAAAAAAAATTTCTAAATGCTCTGTTCATTATTTGGTCACTGAAAAAAAAAACAATTGCCATTCCAGTAAGTACCAAAGATAGATCACTTGTAAAAACAGTGGACTCAGAAGGAAAGAAGTATCCCTTCCTAGTAAAACATGGAAGAAAAACAAGACAAATTTAAGTTAACAAATTAACTTTTTCCATCTTCATCAGCAAATCCCATTTTCAATAGCTATCAATAAAGTATGGCAGGGAATTCTTTTAATTACAAATCCCAGTAGGCCAGGTTTTGAAAGGGCTTTTTCCTTCCATGGTACAAATAAAACCAACACAGAAAATTGACAGAAAGTGTATGAAAATGTAATTTCATTTCTGTTTCTTTGAAGCTTATTAGTGAGTTTTGAAGAATTGCCTCTGAAATATGGAAAAACAAATTCCTTTTTAAAACTTCTCCATATCTGACAAAACTATAAAAATGACAGGTGTGTAATCAAACATTGGGACATAGTCACTCAGATGTGAATGAGAAAAACTACATCACCAAATGAAGCCTGGTTACAACACAGCGTACAAACCAAAATAATCAATAATTTTCCCAATTGCTCAAAACACAAGGTTTTCCACAGATATGCATTTTTACAGACACCCCAAAATCCACTTGATGTTACAACCTACCTCTGTATGTCTTGAATGAAGTGCATTGTATTCCTTCTTGAGTTCTGCCTCACGCTCCTCAAGTCTGCTAACTGGAAGAAAAAAAAAGAAAATAATTAAAACTAAATTCAGAGTTCTAGTAAGTGAGACTGACTTGCCTGGGACTAAGCAAGCAGATCAGAGTATTCCTAGAAGTGAATAGCACAAAGCAGGATAAAAAGTATGTCAGTGTTTTTGTTTTTAAGCTCTTATCACTGAGCTTTCCAAGTACATCAACAGCAGCACAATATTGCAATTTGCATTCCCCTAAAGAGCCCAAGTCCTATTTTCCCTTGCTGATTGCTAGGCCATCAAGAGGGGATTTTTCTGTTCAAGGCCAGCTTACTGCTCACCCCATCCAGATTGTTTCACATGGAAACTGCAGGATGAGGCAGAAACCACGTAACTCAATCCCAGATGAAGCCATGGGCTCCAGCTAAAGTCCTACATCAGTTCTCTAAAACACATCCACACAATTTCCAGAGGCATTTAAATGAGACAAGCATAAGGAAGGTATCTGCTAAAACAGGTTCAAGCCCTACATGATACAGAAATTAAATTTTCTGCTGGCATTCACTCACACTTCACTGGCCATTAAGGCAATAGATTTAAAGAGAGGAAACATTTGAATACTTCCATAGGTATTCCAAGAAATTAAAAATACATCTAGCAGATTTGGGAGAACTTTAAACAGTAAGTTCTTATTAGAGGGAGATGAAACCAACTGAGCAGCTCAGTTTATTTCTGCTGTCTTTCAGCTCAGATGAAACTGAGCAGAAACAAACTGTGATATCCCAATGCAATTAATGTGCAGAACCTAAATTCTAAAGATTTAGAAGAATTTAGAACCTTCTAAACACAATTTATTGTGCCATTCAAACACAAAACATTTTTGCGGCTTAGATGTGAATTCTATCTTTTTATTAAAGAATTTTTGAGCACAATATTTATGTGACATAAGCACATATGTCATATAAGTATCATACATACACATATGATGTACACATATGATACATAAGTATCAAATTGTGTAACTGAGCTTATTCTACTTGCTATGTTTAAATATCCCTGAGAAAGTTCAAATTTACAGTTCCATGTTTCCAGAGAGTCATTGCTAGACACACTTATCTGAAGACAAATGCCAAGATCTTCTATGCTCTGTGCATATTTTTGTGTTGCCAGCTGGGTCTCCTGAAAATTAATACTTCATATATAATTTCTTTTTGATCCATATATCTGTATTTTGGCACAGTGTTTTATCATAAGCATGTTTTAATGGAAAAAAAGACTTTGTCCATGTCAAACGCTGGAACCAAAATAACTGTCTACTCACCCAAATCTCTGTAAACATTATGCACTACTGATCTAATCTTGCTCTTATAAGAACATTACGCTCCTTGACACAACCTTTTGCAGTCCACCTATAAATGTCTGGCCAAAATATTACATCAAATAATATTTACACCACTGCCAGATCAAATGTTTCCATTTCTGCCCTGTTATCAAACAGAACAAAAGCTCTTTGGGTCAGAGAGCAGCAGGGGGGACACAAGTATCTATAACACAATATAGAGAGAAATTTATTTTACAGCACAATGCATGCATCTCAAAAATACCTATTTATGTAATGCAGAACACTACTGAATAGAAGAGTTCCATTTATTGTTTTGAGGCACAAGGTGTTTTAAGTCTCCTTGTCCATTTGAAGTGTGGTTTTATGGAAGCCTTTGGTAAGACATTACAAAAACAAAGAGTCAGAACTTACAATTAACAAAGCTATGAAGTGACAGACCATATTTTATCCACTATCTTTGCCTAATTAACATCCTAGTCATGAGTTATGAGATGTTAAACAGCTGCCCATCAGAAATACTCAGCAGCTCTCACGTGAGCACACTGTGCCCAGGCTGTGTACCACAGCTCCCAGAGGATCTCCCTTGTAACCTTTCCACTGTGCTAAACCTTCTTTGGGAAAACAGGAGATCAGAAAGTGCAAACTGTAAGACTGATGGACCTTGTATTTGCTGAAACCAGCTCCCTCTCCAACAAACAGTGTCCAAGGAGCCTCCCTGCTGCTTCCTGCTGGGTGGTGAAGTCACGGCTCAATTCAGCCTCGCCCAGAACTCCCACACACACACGGGTGATGCACCCAACACTGTTCAGCGAGTTCATATCTGGACAGTGGAGCAAATTCCAGGGGTGAATTCTGCAAGTGCATTCTGGGAGAGTACTCAACAGTACATTTAATGAAGATTAACACCACATCAGGTGTTAATCACACCCTTCTTTGCAGCTGCCCAAAACCAGCCTTCAGGAAATCCAGAAAAGCATTTCCCACTTTTACAAATACAACACATGCTTGCACAGGGGTTGAGGTTCCATAAAGAAGCACACCACTTTTTCCATCTGTGAAGAAAGAAAAGCTTTACAATGTTTTAAAATTCTAATGGCCCAGTTATAACAAATATTGAAGACAAATTTACATAGCTAGTGATGCTGCATAGTCAAGGGGGATATCTCCATGAGATCTGACCACTGTTTTCATTAAGTACAAAGGTTAAAACAATTAAGGGCCCAGAAGATGATATAACTGACATTAAGCACTTTCTTCTGGAAGTCATTTCCAGCTGTGCCATACACTACACTGCTAGAGGTAGAAGCTTCAGCAAGAAGAGAATGTACACTAAGTTACATACCCTCAACAGACACCACATCAACAGTCCTCAGAACTGGTTTTTCCAATACCAGCAGGATGAGATACAGCATCAGAAATCTATTCTACCCAAAATATGCCTCCCATCAAGATAAGATCTTGCCAAAAAAAAACAACGGAATACTTTCTTTTTCCAATTAAACACTGTGCAAGAGATCAGATATTCCCCAAGGATCAGAAATCACCACTGACTTGATCACAGAGTCAGAAGAATTTTGAGGAAGATTCTCACCCCAAAAGCTTTGAAAAACTTAAGTCACGATTAAAGGAACATTTCCATCAGCAGTAACAGGAAATTAAATAGGAGGGCAAAATGCCTTTCTCTGGCATCCAGAAACATATTTTAAACCGAATTGTTGCCAGTTCCATTTTAATACACCAACATACAAAGGAGTGGAAGTCTGGCCCTGATAACACCCCAAGAGGAATGGAGTTGTGTGCTGGCACTGCCTGCCACATGCTGAGCCTGTCAAGTGCCAACCAGACACAGCTCCTATCAAACTTAAGTAACAATACAAAAAGTTCCTCTGATATTTCAGTCTCAGACTTTTTTCCACTAACATGTCAAATTCCTATGGGTGGCAATAAAATTAGTTTGATCATAAATACCCTAGAAGCAATAGTATCCATTGTGTCTGTTGCAGTGTGTCTTTACAAAGCCATTACAAAGCCTTGTTACATCAAGGAGGATCTTACATTGCAAAATTACATTGTTTATGGTAATACATGTGCAAAATATAACATGCAACAAAAAAGTTGCACTACTCACTCTTAGAAGCTTATGTAGAAAAAATACAAAGGTCTTCAAGCATCATAAGTATGAGCATAAAATGCAAATATTCTAGTGCTTTTAGGCTGATGAGAAAGAAGGTATTCCCCCTGGAACATCACCACAAACTCAGACCCAAGGCCTAGTGCAAACTTCTCCAGCACTGTCTATGTTCTAACGCCTTTAATGACCTGAGATACCAGTCTTGATCACAGTTCTCTCACAGAAAACCAATTAAGCCTAAAAATGGGATATTAAATGTAATAGTAAACTAGAGAAACTGGAGTTTCTGTCTTCTGACAGCATTATGAGGAACTAGGCAGCCAAGCTGCCCACCCTGCCTGTTCAAAAGTCAGAGCTTACCTCCCAAGTCTGATGGCTTTTACCAAGTTTGGAACACCCTTCATCAGTATGTTGTCCTCTGCCTCAAACTCCTGATAAGCCTGAGGGGGAGAAAGAGAAACAGACCTGCTAGAATGGCAAATCCAACCAGTGTGATGCCTTCAAGAGGAATTACAAGTTCTTCCTATACAAGCCAGGACAGAGATCCAGCTCATTAACAAGCCCTTCCTGGCACCAGGATTGTCTGAAGACTCTCCTTGGACAGCTTTCATCTGGCTCTATTCTTTAATGCAGGTACCACACCAAAGTTAAGATACAGATCCAGAAGGGCCTTATGACCTCCTAAGTTGTTGCCAAAGAGCACACACATCACTCGTGGACTGACAAGAGGACTAAGCTATCAAACAAGTGTTTAACCTGGAAGTGGTAAGACCTGCAAATCAAACCAGCACAGAAAACTAATTTGTAAAACAAGTGAAAAATTCAACCCCTTGACAAGACCAACATGTTCAAGTAGCTCTTACAATGTGAACTACAGTTCTAGATCTCAGTTTAATAAGTAGGGCACTTGAAATTATGAAGATAATTTAGCTGTCAAGAATGCTCTGTTGATAGCAAATATCAACACATGGAGCAGCAATGGTCTTATCCCTGCACTTCTGGACTGTTCAAGTTTGCACTATGTCTCAGGCACACAGAATCCCTGCAATTTGTTACCAAAAACCTGAAACAAAACTTCAAAAAAACAAAACTCTTTAAACATTCTGCCACAACATTTAATATAAAGACAACCACATGCCAGGACATTCCTCACACAGGCTGAAACACAATCAAGAATATATACTAGAAACTTCTACACAAAATCAAGCCCAAAATCCAACTTCTTGCCCAATCTCTGCAAAAGAGGTGTTTCACTGAGAAAACTTTTGATTGACTGCTTTGCAAACAGTAGGATGCTCCATTTATACACTTGGTTATTGAAGCAACTTCCTGTCTGATAAAATCCACATCAAGTCAGTGTAGACACAGGTTTAGCAGACTGGATTTGTTTTAGAAGCCAGTGAACTTGGGAATGTAAGATTCCAAAAGACATTTAAAGTAATTTTCTTAAATTACTGCAGTATTTTGAGCAACAGAATCACTATAACAACCAAACTCCAGCACATAAACTACAATACTTCCTTAACTTAAAAACACACATGAGCAGTTAATTATACACCAGTGGATTT